ATTCAAATGCAACTCAATCAAAATCCCAGCAAGCTCTTTGAGGAAACCGACAAGTTAATTCTCAAACTCATAAGTAAATGCAAAGGACCTAAAATAGCAAAAACATCCTTGAAACAGAAGAACAAAGTCAGAGGGCTAATACTAACCAAGTTTAAGTCTTATTATAAGGATATAATAAAATGGTGAGGTACTGGCAAAAAGACAAAGAGATCAAAAAGCTCAACAGGCCCATCACACAGCTAAATCTGCACTGACAACTCACACCTTACTAAGACTGCAAAGAACGCAGTGGAGACCTGATGGTGCCAAAATAACGTGCTAGCTGTGTGCACAAAATTGAGCTTCAATCTCTCATAAAAGAGCAATGAACCGTCAGGAACCAGCAGTTAGCGTAATGGCTATGTCGCTGGACTCCCACGTAGTCAACCGTGGTTCACGTCCCGGACCCGGTGGCTTAAAACTCACGCAGGACGCATGTGCGTGCATGCGTACCCAAGATCCCGAGAGGAGAATGGAGGAGAAGGGATTGTGGCGTGACCATCCCCCCAGGGGGGGTGATTTCTCACTTTCTGTCTCTATGTCTCTCTCTGTCTGCCTGGCGAGCACACGCACCCTATAGCAAAAACCTCTCAAAAAAAAAGAAAAAAAAAGATCAATGAACTGTGATAGATACTACATGCTGTACAATAAGTTAATTGAAAATGGATCACAGACTTATACATAAAACCTAAAACTGTAAGACCTATCTACAATAAAAAAACAAATCTTTGATGACCTTGTTTAGGTAAAATTTCTTAGATAAAAAAACAAAGCACAACTCATAAAAAAATCATACTGACAAATTAGACTTCTTAAAAATTAAAATTTTCTGTTCTTCAAAAGGCAACAAGGAAAATGAGAGTCAAGCCACAGATGCAGAAAAATATCTGCAAAGTATATTATTTGAAAAGGGACTTGTATCCAGAACATATGATAAACATTCAAGACTGAATATTAAGAAATCAAACAATGCAGGCTAGCCCCATAGCTTAGTGGTTAAAGGTGCTAGATCCCGCACAGCTAACCACATGGTTGGAAGCCTGGACCCAGCAGCATGAAAAACATGCTGGCATTTGTGCACGCATGCTCAAAATCTCAACAGGACAGTGCAGTGGAGAAGGGATTGCTGACTGATCACACCCCACTGGGGGAATGCTTTCTCCCCCTCTCTCTGGCAAAAACATGTGCCCTCTAGCAAAAGAAAAAATGGGAAAAAATCAAAACAACCAATACAAAATGTTTTAAAAGTTAAAAAATGTTTTAAAAGTTAAAGACACCTCACCAAATAAACAATGAAAAGATGTTTACATCATCATTAATCATGCGAAAAATGCAAAATTAAACCACAATAAGACAAAGGTTTAATACACCTATTAAAATAACACTAAAATTAGGGAACCAGCAGTTAGCGTAATGGTTATGTCACTGAACTCCCACGTAGTCGACAGCGGTTCGTGTCCCGGACCCGGTGGCTTAAAACTCATGCCAGGCGCATGTGCGTGCGTGCCCAAGATCCCAGGAGAATGGAGGAGAAGGGATTGGGGCGTGACCATCCCCCCTGGGGGGTGATTTCTCGCTTTCTGTCTCTATGTCTCTCTCTGTCTGGCGAATGCACACGCCCTATAGTGAAAAAAAAAAAAAAAAAAAAAACACCTCAAAAAAAAAAAAAAACACTAAAATTAGAAACTCTGACCATACCAGTAACAGCATGGATGCAGAGAAACTAACTTATTGCTTATGAAAATGTAAAATGGGGTCAGCAAGGTAGTATGGCGGTTAAGGCAGCTGGATCCCACATGGCTGACTGCATGGTTCAAGTCTCGGAATCAACAGCTTGAAAAACATGCCACATGCAGAACCAGCAGTTAGCATAATGGCTATGTCGCTGTCGACCGCAGTTCGTGTCCCGGACCGGGTGGCTTAAAACTCACGCCGGGCACGAGTGCGTGCGTGCCCAAGATCCCAAGAGGAGAATGGAGGAACAGGGATTGCGGCGTGGCCATCCCCCCCCGGGGGGTGATTTCTCGCTTTCTTTGTCTGTCTGGCGAGCGCACGCGCCCTATAGCAAAAACCTGGGGGGCCGCCCCCTGAGGCAAAAACCCCCCCAAAAAAAAAAAAAAAAAACGTGCCAGGTGCATGTGTGTGCATTGCCAAAATCCTGAGAGGAGAGCAGAGGAGAAGGGACTGTGGCATGGTCATCTTCCCTGGGGAGTACCTTCTCACTTTCTATCTCTCTCTCCCCTTTCTCTCTCTCTAGCAAGTGCACATGTCCATGACAAATTTTTTAAAAAGTAAAAGGTACCAACACTTTGGAAAATAGCTTGGCAGTTTTGTTAAAAAGTTTAATCTATACAACTGTATAATACCACTATTCCTCTCCTGGATATTTACCCAGGAGAAATGAAAGCATATGTCTATGCAAAACTTGTACACAAATGTCCCCAGCGACCCAAAATGGCAACGAGCAAAATGTTTATCAACAGGTGACTGAGTGAGCAAGCTACAGTATATCATATACAGAGAGCACCAGTAATAAAACGGAATGAATTACTGATATACCCAGCAACACGATGAGTCTCAAAATAATCATGCTAAGTGGAAGAAATCAGGCCAAAAATAGAAGTACATAGTCCTGCCTTACCTACAGGGAATACAGGCCAAGATCCCTGGTGGATGCCTGAAACTGCATGGGATCAACCCTAAACATCCTGTATTTTTTCCTAAACATACATATCTATGATAAAGCTTGACTTCAAAATTAAGTGTAAGAAATTAACAATAATTTTTAAAAAACAGAATAACTGTGGGGCCAGCAGGTGGCATGGTAGTTAAGGTGCTGAACTCCCACATGGCCAACCCCAGTTCAAGTCCCGGACTTGGTAGCTTGTTTCCTTGCTTTCTTATTTTCTTTCTCTTTCTGTCTGTCTCTCTGCCGAAGTTAAAAAATAATAATAATAAATAAAGTTGAATAAATAATTCTTTAAAAAAATATAATAACTGTAATAAATGCTATGAGAGGGTGATTGCTCTCTCTCCTCCTCTTTTTCAAAATATCTTATCGCATTGGGGCTGGCAGGTGGTGTGGTGGTTGAGGGCGCTGGACTCCCACATGGGTGACCACATTTCAAGTCCTAGACCTGGCAGCTTGGCTTCTCACTTTCCTTCTCTCTCTCTCTCTCTCTCTCTCTCTCTTCCTCTCTGGTCAAAGAAAAATAAATAAATCAGATTAAATTAAAACAAACAACAACAAATGTGTAATAAAATATATATATATATACACACACACACACACACACAAAAATTTTTTTTTAAATCTTGTTGGCCCCAGCCTCTTAGCCTGGTAGTTAAAGGAGCCTGGATTCCACATGGCCAACCCCAGGTTTGAATCCTGGTCTCAGCAGCTTGAAAAATAGGCTGGATACCTGTGTGTACATGCTCAAAATCCGAACAGGATGGAGAAACTGAAGAGAAGGCTTAAGAGCAGAAGATGCTTTCTCCATCTCTCTCTCTTGTCTATGGTGAGCACATGTACCTTCTGGCAATTAAAAAAAAAAAAAAATTAAGGACAAGCGGACATAATGGTTACGTCGTTGGATTCCCACTAGTTGACTATGGTTTGAGTCCCAGACCTAGTGGCTTAAAACTCACACCGAGTGCATGTGCCTGCGTGCCCAAAATCCTCAGAGGAGAATAGAGAAAGGATAGTGGCGTGGTCATCCCCTGGGAGGTGATTTTACACTTTCTATCTCTCTCTCTCTCTGGCGAGTGCACAGCCCTATAGCAAAAAAAAAAAAAATGGCATTGCACCCACCTAATTTCAGAACACAGTTGATCGCTGGTAATTGAAACTGGAAAGTGAAACCATGGATAAGGGGGAGCTACTGTACGGCACAATTCCACTTATACCTAGGTCTAGACCAGAACAAACTGAACCGCAGCAGCAGATCACTGACTGCCGGGGAAGGGAGGGAGCAGGGAGAGGTGGAAAAGAGGGATGACAGAGAGCAAAAGAAATCGAGGAGGGTAATACGCATACAACTCATCATCTTCATTATGGTGATAGTTCTACAGATATAAACATACACAAATATCTACCGATTTAGGGACCAGCAGACTGAACTCCCACGTAGTCAACCATGGTTCGAGTCCCAGACCTAGCGGTTTAAAACCCATGCAGGCACATGTGCGTGCTTGCCCAAAATCCCGAGAGGAGAACAGGGAAGGGACTGTGGCATGGCCATCTCTCCTGGGCAATTTCTCACTTTCTGTCTCTCTGGCGAGCACAGGTGGCCTATAGCAAAAATCTCTCAAAAAAATAAAAAACAACTATCAACTTAAATGCTTTAAATATGTAGTTTATAATGTCAATTTTACCTCAATAAAGCTCTTTAAAATACATACTGAATTCTTAAGCATGGATAAAATTTCTGGAACGATGATACTGTGCCATGGAAATATTATGAAATGACTCAAACTGCAGTAAAAACCAGGGATCAGCAAACTGGGGCCCCAGGCCAAATGCAGCCATGCCCGTCATTTTCGTACCACCTATGGCCATTTCCCTACCACAGAAGAGCTAAGTAGTTGCAAAAGAGACCAGAGACAAACATACAGAGTATGTGGCACTTTCCAGAAAAGTTTGCTGACCTCTGCTATAAATCAACAAGAAATTACATAATAAGATGAGTGTCCTGGGCTATAAAGTCATTTTTAAAAAGAAAGACCAAAGTGGTAGTAGAGTCAAGAAGGCAGCTATCTGGAAACCTTAAGAGCAAGGGCTTCCAATGCCCCCACTGCCCCGTCGTAAAACCTGCCCAGTCTATTCTTTTGAACTCAGGACACAGAGGTATGTAACAAATGGAAGAGAGAAATTTAAGTGTGCAAGGCATTTCAATATCCCTTTTTCATCTACATGTTTCCGTCTACCTAAAAACGCCCTCCTTCCATCTGGAAGTCCTTACCTGATTTGTTCCGTCTGCACAATCCCTTCCTTGTGACCCTCCAAACGAGCAGCCAGTCTCTCTTTATCAAGGCGCACGCACTCTTCATCCTGGAAACCCCACTGATTAGTGACTAGTTCACACTGACATTTAACTTTCAGGAACAAAACAGAGTATGTACAGCTTTTCCTTACAAACCCCTGCCTATACAGTGCCCAGTATCACTGCCCTTACGTCAACTCTAAGACTATTTTCAGTCACACAGATGACAATAAGTGTATGCTGGATCGCACAAGTCTGGGACCAACGAGCAGCTTACAAAAAGCTTGCTCAGTCACTGTTTTCTATGATTAAGCATTCTTCCCAAGTATATTACAGCTGCCTTTACTGAGAAAGATATAGAACAGTTAAATTCCTTTTCTTTGAGAAAATTTATAACTAAATTGTATGAGAAGTCTTCACCACAGTCAGAAATTTCATTTTAGATCTAGATTTTTTCCCCCATCTGTTACTATAGAGCCAGAATCCATCGGCAAAGATCAAAATAGGTCAGAAATTTCATTTTAGATCTAGATTTTTTTCCCCCATCTGTTACTATAGGGACAGAATCCATTGGCAAAGATCAAAATACTGAACCAGAAACTTCAATAATTTTCAAAGCATGTATCTCAGGACAGTAAGAGTTCCCAAAAAGTGTTCCATGGGCCACTTGGTGATCGTGTCTGAAACGCAACCTTGGGAGCTCAGCTTTATCTCCTTTCCATACTATGATCATTAAAATATGTTCTGAAAGTGTCTGGCTCCTTAAAAATGAAACAAGGCTCAGTCTCTGTGGGGCAACCCCAGCGCCCAGCATTATGGCCGGAAGCCACACGGCTACTGTGGTTTGGATCCCAGGTCAGCCTGAAAAACGCACCTGGTATACTCTCACAGGTACCCAGGATCCCAAAAAGCTGAAGGACTGGGAAACAGACTGCGGCCTGACTCCACCGTGAGTCATGTTGCTTGGTCGCTCGCTCTCTCTCTTTCTCTTCCTCACCCCACTATGAGCATGCATATGCACTTTCTATCTTCAAAACAAACAAAAAAACTCAGTACTCTGATCTAGCTCAATGACAAAGTGAGGACCAGAGTTAACGTCTACGGTTAGTGGAATATGAAACTGTATAAAAAGCATCAGCAGGGACCAGTGGATTGTATAATGGTTACGTCGCTGGACTCCCACATAGTGAGCCACAGTTGAGTCCCAGACCTGGCAGCTTAAAATTCACGCTGGGCATGTGTGCATGCATGCCCAAAACTGCAAGAAGAGCGGGGATCAGCAGAAGGCATAATGGTTCCATCGCTGGACTTCCATGTAGTTCACTATGGTTCAAGTCCCAGAACAGACCCAGTGGCTTGAAACTCACACCAGGCACATGTGTGTACATGACTAAAATCCTAAGAGAAGAATGGAGAAGGTACTGACAGGAGTAGCCATCACCCTTGGGGGATGATTTCTCACCTCTCCAGCAAATGCACACACCCTACAGCAAAACTCTCTAAAAAGGGGACAAGCAGATATTGTAATAATTATGTCACAGGACTCCCACCTAGTCAATCATAGTTCGAGTCCTGAACCCAGAGGCTTAAAACTCACATCCAGTACAGGATCAACAGATTACATAATGGTTACATCCCTGGACTTCCACATAGCCAACTGCAGTTCAAGTCCTAGACCCAGCGGCTTAAAACTCATGCTGGGCACATGTGTGTGTGTGCCCAAGATCCTGAGAGGAAAATGTAGAAGAACTGTGGCATGGCCATCCCCCCTGAAGGGTGATTTCTCACTTTCTGTTTGTCTCTCTGGCGAGCATGCATACCCTACAGCAAACACCTAAAAAAAAGAAAGAAAAAAAAAGAGTATACCCTAGGGGACCAGCAGTTGGCGTAATGGCTATGTCACTGGACTCCCACGTAGTTGACGGCAGTTCAAGTTCCGGACCCGGTGGCTCAAACTCACGCTGGACACATGTGTATGCATGCCCAAGATCCCGAGAGGAGAACGGAGGAGAGGGGACCGCAACATGGCCATCCCCCCGGGGGGGTTGATTTCTTGTTTCTGGTGAGTGCATGCACCCTATAGCAAAAAAAAAAAAAAAGAAAAAAAAAAAAAAAAAAAAAAAAAGGTTCCTCCCCACAAAAAAAAAAGATAATAATAATGAAAGAAAAAAATTTGAACTTGCAGGTGGTGGCATGGTAATTACAATGCTGGACCTCCCACATGGCTAACCATGGTTTGAGTCCTGGATCTGGTGACTTGCTTTCTCTCTCTCTGGTGAGTACATGTGCCACATAGCGTATTTAAAAATAATAATAATAAATTAAATTAAATAATTCCAAACCAAAAAAAAAAAAAAAGTCTTCTGACCCTGACCTAGTCCAATATTTTTACCAATAAGAATGCAAAAGTGGGGCTAGCAGGTAGCATGGTGGTTAAGGGTGCTAGACTCACATATGGCCAACCATGGTTCGAGTCCTGGGCCTGGTGACTTGCTTTCTCGCTTTCCCTTTCCCTCTCTCTCTTTTTCTTGGTCTGTCCCTCTCTGATCAAACAGTCAAATTAAAACAAATAAATAAATAAAATTCAATAAAATAATCCTAAAAAAATGCAAAAGGAAAATAAACAAAACCATGTATTCATCACATGGCTTGTGAGAAAGCTAAAAACTATAGTTTAAACTCTTTACTAATCAATATGTTACTACAAATTTTTTTCAGAAAAGAAAAAAAGCACTTAGAATTACTACATAGAATCCCTGTTACTACATACCTCTAATTTCAGTAACAATACAAACCACCTTTAAATAAAAATTCATTACCTCAATTCGTGGTTTTTTGGCTTCTGCCAAAACTTCATCTGCTGCTCGTTTGACTATAAGAAAAGAGATGTATATAAATAAATATATCATAAGTAAATAAACAGTTTTGAGATGAGTTTCTAAAAGTTCAATATAAATGAGTAACAAGACGTACCCTGAGTAGATCGCTGAAGACCTATTTCTAGAGGAGCACTTCTGTCTATACTGGCCGATGTTGCTGAGGATTTAAAGAGATTCATATAAGAAGATCAATCTTTAAACACATATACGAAACATTATTACAAGTAAAATGCTCAAGGTTTGTTACATTTCTCATTTCTATATGATGATTTCCATTCTTTTTTTTTTTTTTTTTAGTTTGTTTTTTAGTTTTTGCCATGGGCGAGCACACTCACCAGAGAGAGAGAAGGAAAGTGAGAAATCACCTTCCATGGGGGGGTGGCCACACCACAATCCCTTCACCTCCACTCTCCTTCTGCATTCTGGGCATGCACACATATGCACCCAGTGTGGTTTTCAAGCTGCCAGGTCCAGGACTCAAACCACAGTCAGCCATGTGGAAATCCAGCACCCAATCACCATGCTACTTGCTGGCCCCAAAAATCAGATTTTAAAGCAGCTTATAAAAGCATTTTATTAAGAGGATTAATCTGTATTACAAAGTCTGTAAGAGGACATACTGTTTTTGACAATTTAGCTTACAAATTACTGAGACTGAAATTAATGGCTCTCTTCAAAGAAAATTTCTAATATCTCAACACACACATTTCAACTCACTATCCAAACATAAACAAATAAACCCATAAAGTATATACATACAGAAATGTTTTTTAAGTTAGCATTCACTTTAAACACAAGCTCTAGTTATTCACAACTATAGAAATACTACAAGCACAGTACAATGAATAGCTTTATATACATGTTACCTCATTTGTTTTTAAATGCACATCTAAGATAAAGACTCAGACATAAGATTTCCATGTCAAATTAGTAATGACTGCTAGCTGTCCATTTCTTCTATAGAAGCTGTATTAACTGGCACTATAACCAACAATATAGAACATCTATTTCCTCAATGACTCAACAAAATATACTGTCTTTTGTTTTTGTTTTTGTTTTTAGGTGTGTGTGCTCACCAGAAAGAGAGAGAGAGACAGAAAGCAAGAAATCACCCCCCGGGGGGATGGTCACGCCATAATCCCTCCTCCTCCATTCTCCTATAGGGATCTTGGGCACGCACGCACACAAGCTCGGCGTGAGTTTAAGCCACCGGGTCTGGGAGGCAAACTGCGGTCGACAACGTGGGAGTCCAGCAACACAGCCATTACGCTAACTGCTGGTCCCAGCAACTATATATTTTAAGCTCAACGTACAGGACTTGATGAAAAGTAAATCAGACAGGAGGATGACAGGAAGCAATACCATTTTAGATAGAGTGGTGAGAGAAGGCCTCTCTGACGGAGCACAGATCTGAGTGAGATCGTAAAGTGAGCCACGTGAAGACACAGACAAACAGAACTCCAGGCAGAGAGAACAGTGCAAAGGCTTTAACTAAAACAGAGAGAAGAACAAGTGTGACTGACTGCTGTGAGTAAAGGAAGGCTGAAAGAAGACGCAATCACACAGACTGAGGCAGAAGCAAGATCACACAGGCCAGGGTAGGCAATGAGCTTTATTCGAAATGCACAGGATGGCCTTGAGCAGGTGAATGACACAATCAGGTTTTGCCACTTGTCCAAAACCAGGTCACTCTTACCCACTATGCAGAGACTACACTGTAGCAAATAAGAAAGGGGACCTGTGAGGAGGATATCCAACAGTCTAAGAGGAAAGGTAGATAGAGGAAGGCAGAATAAGATGCCATTCCAGAGGGTGTGCGTGGCTCACCAGAAAGAGTCAGAGAGTGACTGAGGGAGGGAAAATGAGAAATCACTCCCCACCCCGGGGATGTGGCCATGCCACAATCCCTTCTCCTCCATTCCCCTTTTGGGATTTTGAACATATACGCACACATGTCCAGAGTGATTTTCAAGCTGCAAGGTCCAGGGCTCAAACCATGGTCAACCAAGTGTGAGTCCAGTGCCTTAACCACCTACCGACCTCAATGTTGCCATACTTTTAAAGACAGAGGAAAGCAATGGATGGAATGGATGTGAAATGTGACAGAAGCAACTGCAGGAATAAAATACTATTACTCGGGGCCATCAGGTGGCGTGGTGGTTAAAGATGCTGGACTCCCACATGGCCAACCGCGGGTCAGGTCCCAGACTTGGCGGCTTACGCCCTCTCTCTCTGGTAAAAATAGAAAAATAATGGTAATACATAATTATTTTTTAAAAAAAGTGATATTATTCACTACTAAGATGGAAACACTAAGAACAGACATACTTTTGTTTTTGCATGAGGAAAAAACAGGAGGAGGAAATTAGACCTTCCATTTTAGATATTTCAAATCTCGGATATCTATTAATGATTCAAACAAAGATGATGACAGTGAATTTATAAATCTGGAGCTCATGAATAAGGCTTAGAAATAAATACTTAAATGACCACAGATGACATAGCGGTTATGTCACTGGGGTCCCACATGACTGACCGTGGTTCAAGTCCCAGACCCAGGGGCTTGAAACTCATGTTGGGCACATGTGCATGTGTGCCCAAGATTTCGAGAGGAGAACAGAGGAGAAGAAACTGCGATGTGGCCATCCCTCTGGGGGTGATTTCTCATTTTCTGTCTATCTGTCTCTGTCTCTGTCTCTCTCTCTCTCTCTCTCTCTCTCCAGTGAACACACATAACCTATAGTAAAAATCTGTCTGAAATACATATATACGTACATACTTGAGGAGTCAGCAGGTGGTGTGGTAGTTAAGACAGTGGATTCGCACATGGCGGAACATGGCTCAAGTCCCAGATCTGGCAGCTTGAAAATCACACTGCATGTGTATGTATGCATGCCCAAAATCCCGAGAGGAGAATGGAGAGAAAAGAACTGCAGTGTGGGGGCTGGCAGGTGGCTTTGTGGTTAAGTGTGCTGGACTTCCACATAGCCAAACATGGTTCGAGTCCTGGACCTCCTGACGGCTTGCTTTCCCACCTTGTCTCTCTCTCACTCTCACTCTAGCTCTTGTTCTCACTCTGTCCCTCTCTGGTCAAATTTAAATAAATAAATAAATAAAGTTAAATAAAAAAATTCTAAAAAATAAAAAAAGAATTGTAGTGTGGTCTTCCCCTGAGGGGTGATTTCTCACTTTCCCTCTCTCTGTCTCTCTCTCTCTCACCAGTGAGCACATGCACCCTAGGGGAAAAACCTAAAAAAAGGAAAAAAGAAAATACTTGAAATTCACCAGCATATACAATGAGACTTCAAAAAAAAAAAAAAATTGTAGATAATAGAATAAATGTTTGCGTTTAACCTGGTACAAATTTTGAAATGTATATAGTTTTTTCATAATATGCATTTTCCATAAGTTTTTTAGAAGCCCTTTAAACATGAGAGCATAAAACTGAAAGAGGTTGGGAACCAGCAGTTAGCGTAATGGCTGGGGCCGGG